TGACAGCGAAATTTCCCTGGGAGCACACGACCGGTCTCGCGACTCTTGTCGCTCATCAGGCATGCGTATCCGGTATTTTTCCAGTTCATTCATACACTTGTTTACAGGAGATCTATCTTCGTCAAAAAGCCTCATTTTCAACACCGGATAGATTTCTTTGGACAACTCTATCAGAGCAAGCCCATTGATGAATCAATACTATGATTCGATGTTTTGTTGGCGGGTCAGATGCTACTAACCGCAACAAACTCGACTTGAGCGTCTTTATGGAATATTGTATCATAAGAAGTATATGAATATATATATGCATGTATATGTATAATTTACTTTTGCGAATAGAGAAATGGAGTAGATAAATTAATTATTAACGGAACTTATTNTTATTATCCATCAGATGTCCAACATATGGTTGCGCTCAATCCCAAAAGCTGTTGTTGATATCATTTACCTTCGCTAACCGAGTGATAGGACCGTTATTGGGTTCTATTAGGGTTTAGGTGATGTTTTCCGACTTGTTTAGTTTATAGCGTCGGTAATTTCCCTGACTGTTGTTTTTTGATACTGTGATACTTTATTGCCTTAATAATAATATTATTATTATCATCATTTTTTACAAAGACTCGAGAGTGCTGTGAAAGTTCTCTTATCTCACAAGCTCGATATTTTTCATGTATTCCACACACGTACGAAGCCAAACTATGTGCCGAACAAATCACAATGCAATAATCTTTATAAAAAGGAAAAAATGTTTCAGGATCTGTTTGTAAGCATACTACTACCAGGTTGCCCAGGCCAAGGTAGGTGAATTTTCTTAGGGAGTTAACAGCCGGAGCCATCAGCTAACCAAAGCCTGATCCGCAAGGCAGCGGAGTGGTGTGAAAACCGCAATCCATTGGGAGCCGGTGTCCAGTTCATCGGATCATCACGAGTTCCCAGTGTTCTTGAAACAGAAGTTTCTTCTCGGAACATGGCCAGGGACTATCAATGGTGATCCTTTTCGAGGGGCTTATATTGAATCTGTTGAACCTAGTGATTCTTCTTACTTCCTTGTTTTGTAAGCTTTCATGTTTCCGTTAGATGCGCATGACAATTCATTTCTGGGGATAAATATTTTATCGGCTATGCTTCATTTGTTCGTCCAGAGATTTAATGTTATATTTCAAAATCAGTTTTGTCTGCATGTTTTTTGTCGTCTTGTCGCGTCTCTGTTGTCTAAAGTCATAATGGGAATTCTGACACAATTTCCGGTGAGTTGTATCGTGCGCTTGCTCTCTGTACAATTTCCGCTGCAGGTCACANACATACACGCTAAACGCTCGTATCAGACTTCCTTCTCAACTCGTCCTCGTCTTGGGAAACCGCATAATAAGCCCGATCAATAGAATACTTAGACGCGTCCTAGCTTCAGACACAACTTGCGGTGCTAAAGACGTGCCTCACTATGTTGACCGAAAATCGATTTTTGTGGAAGCTGAAACAAACCTGTTGTATGCAACTTTGCTTTTGTTGATAATCTCCGTATTCTTGATTTTTTGTTCATCAAATACTTTGTTTTGAGCTTCAGGTGGTTTCAGTACTTGTTCATTTTTCCTTGATAAATGCGGTCATTCCAATCAGGTTATATTTGCACACCGATTCGAAAAAGTTAGATGAGGTCACGTGTTTCATTTAAATCACATGTCGATTTTCACAATGAATTTCTGGTTGCATGAATCAGCTGTTCAACCCATCTGTCTCATTATTGCGTTTTATTTTTAGATTTTCGGGAACAGTTTGACGAAGTGCTCAGGCTACGTGCCGCATTGTCGGTCGAGGTTGAGGCACTGGAACAGTTGCGTGCGGAATTGGAAGATTCTGAATCCATGTCCGAAGTACATATCCAGTTAGAACGGGCCACTTTAGAGAACAAACGCCTTCAGTCCGCCATACGTTCTGCCCACGAGCAGGGTGAGTATTTCTGCTGAATCCAGTAATGTAAAGCAAAACGGGCTCATTTCATAGTTTTCAGTTTTTGCAACCGTTAACTATACACTATACACTAACTACACACGCGCGCCGGTTTTGGTTACTGCATCATGGCTATCCATTTCGGGGAAGGAATAAGAGGGTCATTGTATTGTTGAAGGTATTGTCAAGGTGGAAGTGAAGCATTTATGGAGACTAAGGTCGCAAGGACATTAAGTAGATGCACGAGAGCCACTGTTTGCGACATGCAGCCAAACGATGTCTCTAACCACGGATTACGTTGACCCCGAATTTCCCAACGGGGAAGCCTAACGTGACTTATCTTAGCAATTATCCTGGTCAGGGTTTTTATAACTGCATGCCAGGTCTTGGTTTGACCACTCGACTTTGTCCGAATATACCATCTTTACACATTGTAAGAAAACGCAGAGTTGGAAACAAGCTCGTTTGCGGTGATTCTTCTACTGGCTAATACATTACAATTTATATCAAACTGTTTAGAAGGGAGGGGGAGAGAAATCATGACAAGCTGGAAAAGAAATAATCAACATTCCAGTTCCGTGACTGGATGTTGCTCACATTTTGTTCCTCACACATGCGCATTGGTTTGGGTCATTAGTGGTTGGTGGTGAGATGGCTGTGTCGTGTGTGGTTTTGACCATGGAAGACCGAGAGTTCGCAAAAGCGGTCCGTAAGAACACTCGGTCTTCCATGGCCAACACCACACACGACACAGCCATCCCACCACCAACCACTAATGACCCAAACCAATGCGCATGTGTGAGGACCGAAATGTGAGCAACATCCAGTCACGGAACTGGAATGTTGATTATTTCTTTTCCAACTTGTCATGATTTCTCTCCCCCTCCCTTCTAAACAGTTTGATATAAATTGTGATTTATTAGCCAGTAGAAGAATCACCGCAAACGAGCTTGTTCACTACTCTTGACTTTCTCTCACCCATGACTTGCTTCAGAAGATGGCAGTCACAACAATCGACCATTGAGGGGACCGGTTACTTGGAGTACTGGAATACATAGAATATATTAATTTATGATCATGATATGATAGTAATGGTGGAGGTACGCATGATTGTAAGCTAGAGATAATTTTTTGATTGTCAAGTTAAGCTACTTAAGGATACTGTTCGAGGCATTTTCGTTGAATTTTAAACTCCAAACATTCTTTTTTTCAAAATTATAAGCTTCGTTTTCTGTTTCATCCGCCCTTCCAACTCTTTATGCTATTGGCATAAAACTGTTGTGCTTACACAAAATGCAATGGAAGTGTCCGAGTTGTATTTTAGCAAGCGCGTTCTCGAAGCTGAGATGAGCGCATTACGCAGCGAACGAGATCGCCAATTGGCTGAGGCAAACGAACGAGTTCGTCTGGCTGAACGAGCTGTGGTAGCTGCGGCCACTTCACGGCGTCGTTTTACAGAGCCAATTGTCACCAAGTCACCCGTTCTCACTAATCGGTCTGGAGCACATTCGGGTACTGGGTCCCTGACAGAATCGGCAACTGCTTCAGTTTTATCCAGTCGTACGGAAGAAGGAATCGAACTAGTGCACCGGTCTGGAACTGCTGATTCTACTAAGACGGCGGAAGATGGTCCGACAACGGTGATTGCGACCGGATCATTGGTGTCCAAACCTCAGGTGACCAAATTACGACAACCGCTGATGGGCTTCAAAATTGCCAGTCAACAGGTTAAGGTACGTGCTCAAAACGCATGGTTGGCAGTTTTACTGTTACATATACGCTTATTCCACCTTTTTAATGGCGACTGGTAGTTTTCCGGTTGCATTTTCTCGGTTTTGTGTTGGGTTAGCGTACGTGTGAAGCTTGTTTATTATTCGGAGCCATTGTAGTTGTTCGTTACGGAGTACAGGGACAATGTTAATTAGGCTCATATCTCATATTTTCCCACATAACATCTGTGGCTATAACCGAGTCGGTGAACCACTGACAGTTCATATAGGGGAGATCGCTCAAAAAACTGATTACGAATCACAAACACCCACACCTCTCTGGCTTTGGTAGTGGTCACCGGTTCATTTGGGCATCGAGGTGTACTGGGTCCCTCGGACGTTTGACGCCATCCAAAGGGCGTATGATCCGATGAACTGGACACCGGCCCCCAACGGATTGCAAACTCTAAGCTCCTTCCTACTGTCTTGCAGGTCTGGCTTTCTAGCTGAAGGCTTTGGGTAGGGACCCCGAGGTTATCCCCCTTCTTAGACCAGGGTAGCCAGAAAGTAACATGCTCACAAAGCCAATGAACATTCTACAGATCTTTTCTTCATATGCTGTGGCACATTCGTCAGTTCTTCTCGCTACAAGAAGGTAGTAAAGGAAATTTCTCCAGCAGATGCTCTATGACTCGTTTGGAACTGTGGTTTGCGCTAGAAAGTTGATAGCAACATTGGACTGAATTGTATAATTGGTGTTAAACTACCGTAATTGGAACAAAGAAACCGTCATCTTGTTAAGTTGAGCCTTTAGGTGACTAGTCTTGTTATTATGAAATTAGACTTTCGTCAAACGTTTGGCGTTCCTATGCTGATTGCTTTTATTGTGGGTCGATATTCTTGTGTTTTGCAGTAAAATAAAACGAGATACATCAGCCAAACCTGGATTGTCAATTGACCCATGTTGATTATTTATCTAATCTACTTATTTAATATTTTGTTTGCCTCTTTTGTGCCATGGAAATTCCCGGGAGATGAACTAGTCCTATTTAGTGATGCCAGGTTAAATAAAGAAGTAGATCATTGGGATAGCGATATTGAAGCTGAAACACATTTTATTGGCCAGTTATTTTGTTTATTTACACTCTGTTGTTCTCCCGCCCGTCTTGTTCAACTTCTGTGATGAGATTCCATTTGAGCTGTGGCACTAGCGTGATATGTTATTCACTTTTCTTATTCGCTAAGTCAAACCAGAGCTAACCTATGTATGTGTGCCTGGTATTCTATGGTTTGTGGTGGGGTTTTCTGACAATCAGCTGCAACCAAAACCGAAGCAAAGTCGAACTTGAACTGGTTTACTGGTTTATGCGAATCGATTTGCTGCCGACATCGTGGATCGTGTGGTCACGCATGGCGATGTTTCCTGCGATTATCTCATGCAGTGCATTGATTGAAAGCATTTATCTAATGGGAGCGAATATCAAGGGCGCACGACAACGTGTGTGCGTATCACGATCGTCGCCACAGGTTTGAAAATGTGTGTGCCTGTGTGTGTACCGTTTGGTACAGTCTGTCACGAATTGGTCGAATGCTGTAATTCTTAAGTGGTGATTCTTATAGGGATTAAGGTTCAATTTTGGCGTTGGAGTTGACAAAACCTCCGGGTTCAGTATGAAAACGTGAACAGATTCCAACTGAATGGTGTGAATTGGTCATTTTGCCTTTTCTCGGAAAAGGTACAGATCTTCACGCGAAGGCCAACAAGGAATTACTTGAATCATCATCGTCCCTAAACTTCCCACTAGCACTATACTTCGTCGGTTGTCTGCCGCACCTGAACCGTTCACCCATGAGACATACATCAGGCCGAGGATTCATCGGCCATATTTGCCTCCTTCACCAAAGTCTGGGGCACAGATATTCCTTTCTTAAACCCACAATTTCGCTTATCCATGATCCTAAAATGGTCTTCAACTCAAGGGACCGTACTAAACTCTGGTGCTGTCTCTCCGTGGAAGGTGTACCGGAGGAGTTTACTTCAATACTACGATCTCTTTATACGAATTGCCGATACCAATTTCGAGCTTGAGATATCCGTGGGCCGTCGCGACATCCGATTGTCTAAAAGATCGAGAGTACGCTGTAGCCATTGGGCCGGTGCTGCTATATGGTGCATAAGCTTGATCGTTCTAGAACACGTTGCATTTTTGAACATCGCTGTCTATGCCACATAACCCAACTCCGGTGAGTCAACCGGACAATAAATGCTGAGATCCAGCCCAAATTTTTAAACTACGGCAGTCGCTGACCAGAGCAACTGCTCAAACTCCATAGATTACGCTGACTGGAGTATGTATTACGCATGTCACCTGAGAGGGTTCCTTGAGTTCAGATGTTGTCGGAGGAAGTTAATCGGTCAAATACTATATAT